CAGGAGCTGCCTGTCCAGGAGAATGCAACCACACCAGACCTAGAGTTCTTGGGAGTCACTTATTCCTGAAGATGTAGTGTTGGAAAAATGCATTAAATAGAATGGCATGGCAAGGGGTGAAATCCTTTTAGACTTTCAGAATTAGTTAACTTCGACACTTCCAAAGATGTACATTCTATTTTCCGTCTGGACACTCAACAGTTCTCTTGCCACTGAGCCATTTTAGACCGGTGCTTTACAAAATCAAAACATGGATTTGCCTTTGTTAGGTGTTGTCCCTCCTTCCATCTCTGTGTTAGCAGCAATTGCCTAATTTATAAAGGTTTTTGCTGCTAGTTATTGGCTGTGACCATTTCTAGTACACTTCAGACACAATAGCAATTCATACTATTGAGCCTGCTCTTCAAAATCACTTTGGAAAATCTTGCACACCTCCCTTGTGGCTGGGATGGACAAAAGCAGCAGAAACTCTCCTTTACTATTTAATTGGCCTATGAAAAATTGAAATTGAAGGACAAATCCAACAACTCTTTCTTCTTAACACTTCCTCTCCATATACGAGTTTTGATATAAAATGTGGTATAACTTTTACTTAGGAAAAATAAAATGTAAATTTTCAGAATAAAGACCATTTCAGCACTTAATTTATTGGCTGTTGGAGAAGGTTAATTTGATATTCACCAATTATTCCTTCCCCTGAAATTTTCAGAATCTATAAAGAAATCTGTTACTGAAAGAATATGAACTGAACCAGTCTGGAAAGGTTTAAAGGTTTATCTGCAAATCTTTTTCTGCAACTGATGTGTCACATACCATTTTGACTTCAAAATAATTGATCTAATGAAATTTAGAACTGGGTTTGTAGATAATAAAAAAGTAGATATTTATCATTAAACAAAAGGATCAAAAGCTGGCACAAAGTGAGCATACAGTTCACAGTTCTTACACTTGTGTGACAGTGAGGGCTGCAAAGCAGGGGTCACGTGCAGATCTAAGGAGACATGGGAACACAGAGGGCATTCCTTAAAACTGATCTATTTGGTACCATTTAGGTTGATGTTTTACAGGTATGTTATCATTGCTAGCACTCAGTGACACTTAAAGGTCTAAATACACACATAGCGTGTGGGAATTGTGGAGCTGATCTGTTAAAAGACAGCAGCTGGAGGTTACTTGGGCACAAAATAACCAGTCCTGTTCCCCTGGATTTGGGACCAGGCTATGCCCTGGCTCACAGCCACACAAAGAGGGAGGGCAGAGGAGAGAGCTGTGACCCACCTGCATGAATTACACAGAGGTCCTTCCATGCTGGGAAGGTCTCCCCATCATCCAGGTGCTACAAGGAGTAGGGTATAATGCTTTTCCTATTTCCTTTTTGGTCCTCTTCAAGCAGATCTAGGCCTTCTTCACTCAAAGTTTGTGACATGCAGGAATTCTCCTAATCCTTCAAAAACAGTCAAACCCAGCCAAATGTTCTCCAAGTGGGGCTTTTCAGCACTTTTTCCTTGAGGAAATATAATATTCAGGGTTCTGTACATGTGCTCCATCACTCTCACTGTCTCCTCAGGTGGAGGCTGCTTTAAATTGCATTTTGTAGAGGGCCAAAGCTTTCAAAGATGTAGAGTCTGTACAGGATTTGTGTCCTACTGGTTGGTTAAAAACAAACAGACCCCACCAGCACCTTCTGAAAGGGAAAGCTGACAAACACCTTTGTGGTACTTCAGAAATTCCTCTTGGAGAGATGTTAAAAATCAGTTGGTTTTGTAGCTTCTACTTGTTAAGTAACTTGATCACATAATCTTTGTAAAAGTTAATCAATACCTGCCTCTTACGGTGGATATTTACATCATTATTTGTGTAAAACACAAAAATCAGCAGTGAGGCACGGGGACCTTAGTGAGATATTAAGAAATGAGGGAGGTTCCAGCTTTCCTGGTCTCACTCTTCCATCTTCAAGAGGCCCAAAGGGGAGAACATGTGCAAAGAGATAAGGAGAAAGCAACAGCTGGATGGTTATTTCCCCACCTCTTGGCTGCACATGAGTGCCAAGCTGTGAGATATTCCCCTGCAGGCAGCATGCACAGCTTTTGGGCACAAACACAGTGGATAAGTTCATTTAATTAATGCTACTTTGCTTTAGGGAGTGTGCAGGGGTTTGTGTGTTCCTGTCCTTCAGCAGATGTTTCCAAAATAGCACAACTCGCTTCCAAAAGGAAATCTGAAAGGAAAAAATGCCCAGCAAATAATTCCACCATCTACCTGCAGAGAGAAAGAATCTCTCAAGGGCTCAGCTACTTCTCTCTTCAAAAAATACATTGGAATTTACTTTAGTACCCAAAGAAGGAAAATCTTTATTAATCCTTAAATGAGAATAATAATTTGCAAACCTCTGGCTCCCCAGCTCCCTCGGTTAGCTGCTCACCCTCCTTGCACCTGACCCTGCAAAGTCATCCTCTGTTACAGCATTGGCTTTGTAACATGCCAGCATCGAAAGGATTTCACAAGAGCTCCACAGGAACTTGGGGCACTGGGGGGACAATCCCTGTTTCTGTTCTTTGCCACAAAAAAAGAGAAATTAGGGAATCAAAGAACATGGTTGAAACACTCCTGTCCCTCTCTCGTTCTGACACTGCTTCCATCGCCTGTGTGTTTCCTGCTTATGCAGGAATTTAATTCCTTTTTTGCTCACACAAGTGTCTTGCCCATTTTACCCAATTTCTTATTCATCAAGTTGTATCATTTTAGATCCCTAAGGAAGTGATCCTTTAATATCAACCACAAATAATGCTGGAGCTTTGCCTTAAAAGCCAGGGGTCTCTAGTTCTCAGCTCTGCAGCAAGGGTGCTGGGAAATTCAGTGTACAGGGGGCTGGGGTTTTCCAATGTTCTCAGGTGGGAAAGCCCCACCTGACACTCACTCCTGCTGGAACGCCAGCTGCAGACAAAGGCATGGAGAAAGGGAAGGGAAAGACCATGTTGCCTGTGTGTAAAAAAACCAGAAGTTACACCTGAACAGCCACAAGGAATGAGACAAAAGAACAAAGCACCTTCCACATCAAAAAAAAAGTGACATTACACACAGGTGAGGCACAAGTGCAGAAATAGACTAACTGAACAAACATCAAAAATACATCAGATTAATTTTCAGAAATTTACTAAAATGCACACAGATTTGTCACAAAACCAGTTGAACTCCATTGTATTTCAACAATAGGTTTATTTTAAGAAACATAACATGACATTAAGTAAAAATGCAAAATTGTGCAATTATGGCAAAATGTTTAAAAATCCACACATTTGCCCTCATAGGACTACAGTACTTCTTACTAACATACCTGAGCACTGAATGTTGGATGCCACTTCTCAACAGCCTCGCCAACAGGGAGCTCTTGGATCTCTTGTAGAACATACACACACTGCATGTCTGGTGCACCAAAACTGCTTTGAGTTATTCTAAATTTCACTGATGGAAGCAAGTGGAAATTACAAAATGTTTCCTTCTAAAGTAACTAATAATTTTGGAAGAGATTTACACTCACCTAAATTCTTACAACACTAGAAATTCATTTCATAAAGGGAAATAAACAAATGCCAAAAAAAATTTCCAAATGAGCAAAATGTACAGATTACTGTTCAAATATTATCAGTACCTTTGGTGCAATTATTTTTTTTTTTTTGTGCTGTGCAAGTTTACTTAAGCCTGACTCTAAAGCAAAACTTTACCAGGAATCTGACTTTCAGCATAACATAGAAGCATTTAAGAATTGGCAAAATGTCACAGCTACATTACTGTCTCAACAAACTCCTCATGCAAAAGATTTAGTATATTCTACTCCCACAGCAATTTCCAGGATTTAGCTTTCAAACACATGACAGACTTGGATCACACCCTCAGTTTGAATGGTTAAACAGAATGGAGATCTTCGTACTTTAGTGCAGATAAACAAAATTAACAAACCTACTGCAGAATTAACCACAGCATATTGTACTTCTATACATCACATGACCAGTCAACTGCTAACTCAATTCTATGTCATAGTTTCAAGTAATATATTGAAATTTGTTCTACTAAATAAATATAGATTGTCAAAAAGCAGCAAGAAATCTTGTAAATAGTCAACCAAGCTCAAAAAAAAAAAAAAAAAAAAAAAAAAAAAAAAAAAAAAAAAAAAAAAAAAAAAAAAAAAAAGAAAAACAAAGAAACAAGGAAAAAGTTACACAACACTTCGCAAAAAAAATGGTCTTACACACAAATGCAACACTGTTAGGGAGGGTGCTTCAGAAAGCTTGCAGCTAGAGGCCTACAACAGCGCAAAGAGAGCTAGCCAAGGACTAAGGATCATTAGTTAAAAATTAAATTAGGTGTACTTCTCAGAAAACCCTTATTCTTGGCTATGCATAAAGATAAAACTATCCAGAAGAAAACTAAACAAAGAAACAATACACCTTAACACTATTGGAAAATGCAGTCTTAGCGAGAATTGCCAGATTCAGGAAAAAACCAAAATGCAGGTGCTCGCATTGGAAGAAGAGTTTGGTGAATCTCTGGAAGATGAGGTATGTAATGCAAAGAGGCATATTTATTTTGCTTTTCATTTCACAGTTTTTTGTTTGTTTTCGCCTCTCAAACATTTTGTGCAAGAATTAATAAATAGAACCAGACGAGTATTTTCATGTATTAGGAAGATTCCATTTGGGAACAGGAAGACCACATAGTAAACAAACATTATCCAAATCCTCAGCCATGCCAGGGGGATAAACAATGAGCTCAATATTTGGCTGACTGAAATATCAGCTGTTAAGCCAGATAATGGTAAGCACTTTCAGGCAGTGATGGCCAGTGCCATGTCAAGTTAACTGGTTTACTTAGGTCAACAAGAAAAAACAGGAAAGAGTAAGATAACTTAAAGCTCTGCAAAAAGCAGAGCTGTAAGAAACCTGGTAAATTACAGCTGATGCAAGTTTTAGGAGTCCTCTTTTCCCTTTTAAATTTCATTTTCACTACTGAAGTAGAGGCTGAACTTTGAACTTATTTACTTTTTAAAAATAAGTTAAATGTTAAATACATAAAGATAAGTGTTGCAATATATTCCTTATTCTGTATTTCCCCTAAGATTATTTAAGCCATGGATGCTTATTGTCAATTTTCCTTTAATGCACTGGATAATGCTGACAGCTCAGTAGTGCAATTTTTCACATTATAGATCAGAAGGAAATAGAAGATAGTTGGGGGCTTGACTGCAAAGATAAAACAACTTGCAAAGTTAAACCACACTTTTCCAAATCACCAGAGCACATGCCAACTCTGCACATAGCACTGTACTGTAGTGGAGAGAGAATGAACACTCCACACAAAGAGAAAAAATAAAAGAGAATTAGTATTATTAAGGCCATATCCTGTCACCATTCTGTGCAAGAACACCACTGCAGTAAAAATGTCATGTTAGAAAAGAATCTGATGACAGGACAGGGCCTGAAGACAGACACACACTCCATGGAAAATAACAGGCTGTCTTAAACAGTAGCAGAAGGCTGGCCCAATTCAGACAAACAAGTATTAAAAATGTACTAGCACCATCAACTTTTGGGTTAAAGCCCTTTACGGGGTGGAAAAAAAAGTTTTTAATCAGTGTTAAAAAAATGTTTGTACAGCACTACACCTATGTGGCAAAAAACAGGTTTTGGGGTTTTTCCCCCACTCTTATTAAACTCAATTTCAACAGAAATCCACAGACAGGAACTGGTACAACAATATGAACAGGCCTCCATCCGGGGCAAAGGTACTCCACAATCCAATTCTGACTTGAGTTTTTCTTCCAAATTGCAGTGCACAAACAACATCACAAACATCTTAGCAGACTTCAAAAACAGTACAAAAAGAAGAGATCGTTATGAATCAGGATCTACCATTCCTCTCTATGTACTTTCAATCTAAATAAATTTTTTAAAAAAGCAACAAAACTTAGTGATATTGCCTCAAATTTTACCCGTATTAAAAAAAAAAGAGAAAAAGAAGAAAAGTCACTTCAACACATCTTGGACATCCTTAACTATTAATGCTAGATTTTCTTTCACTGTAGTGCATAGTTATCCTGGCTCTTCCACTTAATTTGCTTTCACCACAAAAAAAAAACCTTAAGTATGACATGATTAAGTGTTTACCAGAAAAAAAATGCTGATAATTGCACTTTGTAACCTCCTTCTCATTTCCCAGGAAAACATCAGTAAATATGAAACTGAACCAGTAAGTCCCTCCCCAGACTGCAACCTTTAAAGAGCACCCATCCCCGTATACAAAAAACTGTCTGTTTCATCTTACAATAAATACTGACAGAATTTCTTTGTTTTCTTTTAAGACATGTTTTCTCTAGCATCAAATTACCACTGAAATCACTAAGGCCTGTTACTGAAAAAAACAAAAAAAAAAAAACAAAAAAAGAATTTAAATAACTTTCTGAAGACACTGCGGATACAATTTAGCAACAACACATTCAAAATGCCGGCCTAAATCCCAGAGCCTGTCTGGAGTCTCGTAGACTTTCTGCCACTGGTCAGTGACCTCATCGTACTGGTAGAGTGAATTCTTCCTGCTGGTTCTGAAAACGTGTTCTTCAACAGTGACTTGAGTAGCTCTGACAAAGAGATGGAGTTTGTTTTTGAGGAGAACAAGTTTTATGTATGGATTGATGGACTGGTCGCACGGGAAGTCTTTTTTTCGAGTCCACTTGTTCTGCTCGATGTCGTAGGCCTCGACGGTGAACATGCGCTGATGGTTGCCACAGGTGCCAGCTATGTAATAGATGGAGTCGTTGTACACTGTCGCCAAGCCTTGGATTCTAGGCACAGTCATTGGGGTCAGAAACCCCCAGTAATCCTTCTGAGGGTCGTAGCAAAGGAAGAACTCCCCTGAAAAGAGAGGGGAAATAAAACATAACTCGTGTTTTGTTTCCACACCAGCATCTGCAGCAATTAAGCTCTGAAGTACGCTCTTCCACAGACAGAAACACTCTAAATTTTCTAGAGCCTGGATGCCAAAACAAACACCCCAGCACCATCAAATGCTTTCCTTTTAGTGCTTTACAAAAATGTTAATAGCATGACTAAAACCTACTTTGAGTTTCTGGTTCAGCTGAAGCAGAGGGAATTTGAAGAATATCAGAAACACATTTTACAGAGTTTCAAGGTATCCTTTATTACTTCTAAAGCATTCTTTTTCATTTAGGACAAAACCTTTCAAGATTCCAGTCTTGAAACATTTGAAGTACATTTGTGAAGATGTTAAAGAGTGAAACAATGTGTCATCTGCAGATAGGGAGTTGCACAATTATTTGCTCAGGCTTAGAAATCTTCAAACCCTGAATTGTATCTTACACCACACTCAGATTTTGAAGCTAGTGGTATCAGGTGGCTGGGTTACACATTTAGGCTGATTTGCTTGAAAGGAGGCCAGGTGAGAACCTGTATGAAGCTACTGATTCATGGTTAGGTTTGTGGTTAGATTATAAAACACCTCTGCTGCTCAGCGCCCAGAGCAGCAGCTACAGACTGCAGATAAAGGAAGTTCAGATGACCAAAAACTCACACTCTGTACATTTCATGAAAAGAACATGGATAAAGACCACCTTGACTTTTGTAAAGTCCAGTGGGAGAAAGGCCTTACATCTGCCAATATTAGCATAATTCAAATCATACATGATTTCACCTGGCTATCTTAAGAATTTTAACCAAGCTGTTGTGTGACCAAACACCTCAAGTATAACAAAGAATACAGAAGTGAGACAGTAAAATTGGTGGAACAGAGTTTAAGAGATAGAGTCTTACAGATAATACTAATTTTAATTATTCAGTTTTGTTCCACAGTGCAATCTCCAGTGACTGACACTTGCATTCCATAGGCATTTTCCCACTCTCATCTATTCTTATTGACTACATCTAACTTAGGAGTTTTACCTAGAAAAATTACTAAAAGCTAACCTCTTTGTACTACAGCACAACTCAAACAAGGTTTTTTCTAGCCACCCATCACACTACCCTTTAGAAGTTGCTGGTTAGCACAGGAAGTAGCTTATTTGTATGAGCAGTCAGTTGTCACTAAAAGCACTGAAGCACAGAATCAGTGCAGCTAAAATTTGTGAACAAAGAGCACTCTTATTCTATAGGTTATAATAATATCATCCACCTTTTATCAGTTCTAAGAAACACTAAAAAACAAATACTAAGTTCAGTATTCTTCAGCATTCCTTTCTAAATATCTAAAGCAGATATTTGACCCAAGAGAGAGGGATTTAGAGAACTTTTTAGCACAACAGAACTATTTAAGGCCACAACCAACAAGAGTAGAACATGATACAGATACAATGGAAGAAGAAAACTGCAAATCATATGGAAGATCATGAATGCAAAGTCAAGAAATAATGTTAACTTCTTTTGGTTAATAATAAGGATCTTACAGCACTCTTTCTTCCCCGTGGTCCAGCTTTGTATGGAAGTGACCCAAGAAGGAGCTGGTGTGCATCTGAGACCCCAGCTTGTGCAGGTGTTTACAGAGCAAAACAAAACTGGGACACTTCCCCCTCCTTCTTCTTTCCCACTTTGTGGGCCTCTTACCACAGCCTCAGACCAGTCTCAGCACTTCTCAGTGTGCACTGAATGTAAAGGCAGTACTGCAATTGCTGACCAAAGAAACAGAGTTAACTAAGAGAGATACTTTATCTCTTTCTAGCTTCTAAGATGACTTCAGAAAGCAGGGTAGGGGAGGAAATGAAGACTCAGGAGGCATTAATCAACTTTTACAAGTCACCAAGAATAAAGACACCAGGAATTTTCTCAGCTTTAGCCAAGTAAAATGCTAACTGCTTTTTCACAGGACAGTATCTTTTCTTCAACTTTGGTGCATTTCATCCAGGTAAATATTTAGTAAAGAATTTTCAGAATTAATTTGAATACTGTATTGTTCACTCAGAATACCACCAAAAATGCCATCTGTGCAATAACTCAGTACTACAACTTAGTGACACATTGCCAGGGCATGAGAATTCAAGCAGCAACCCCCCTCTTCCTTGTTCCCCCACTCTTCCCCCCACCATGCCCCATTGCCCAAGGGGTTTTTCCAAATTGCTTAAGAAAACACAGACTGAACAATCCCCACTTCCAATAAAACATCACAGAAGCAGTCAAACCACCTTACCCTGTAAAACATAGATGTTATCCTTATACTCCACAGCACTGTGGAACTCCATTGCCACCGGCATGGGACACACAGCTGTCCAGCAGTTCTCCCGGCTGTCATAGCACTCCACAGACTTGAGGGAGTTGCGCCCATCTCCTTCATAAACTCTCCCCCCGATGGCGTACAGCTTCCCACAGCAGTGAACCAACTTGCAGCCTATTCTAGCCCGCAGCAAAGGAGCCTTGGGAATCCACCTATTGCCAGAGTGATCGTACATCCAAAAATCACTCTCGGCCCGGTGGTCGATGGAGACCTCGCTGCTGCTCGGCCTGTAACCACCCGCAATGTAAATGTCGTTATCAGGAGACACCAGAATTCCCACCTCCCTCAAGTCATTTGGTGGCTTGCATAGTTTAAACACTCTCCCTGTGACCGAATCTAAACAAGGCACTGTTTGCTTCTTTCCTGAGTGTTTGTGGGCAGCATCGAAGCATATGATCATTTCGGAAGCGGTCATTCCAAGCCGCTGTGTGTAGCCATTGGCACTGGGTTGTCCCTTCTGTACACAGCTTTTGGCCATCGCCTGTGCAAACACGGGAGGGATTTTCTCTAGAAACGTCTCGTCCAACAGAGGCAGACGGATGCATTTGGCAAATATTTCTGGAAGGTGCACTTCTCTCTTATTTTGTTCATGCTCAAACCACCTTATAATGCTCTCATAAACATGTTCTTCTTTATCTACATTTAAATCATCGCTGTTGAGGATACTTATCAGTTGGTCTTTTCTCAACTGAAGAAACTCTTGCTCTTTGGTGACACTCAGAAACTTCTTGCGAATGTAGTCTTGCGACCTGTCTTTGAGTTCCTGATGACCATAGTGATCAGCGAAGATGAACACCCCAATGGAGTTCTGTGGGTCCAAATGACTGATCATGTATTTAGCACACTGGTCTTGTATGGAAGGGATCTGGAAGATACTGGCTGCAGTGAACAAAGCTTGAACGTTGGCCTCTGTCAGCACTACTCTGGAGGTATATGCATAGTTCAACACTAAATGCATCGACTCTGCCTCGACACCAACGATCCGAACTTCCTTCTGCGTGCTCTCGGTAAGGCCGCTCGTGAACATCGATCTGCAAGGCAGGAACACCCAGCAGTTTGTCTGCTATTGCCTTTAGCTACTGGCACAAAATTAAACCGATTAAACTGGCACAAATTAAACACATCTAGTCCCAATGCCTTTGCCCCTCTGTCAGCACAAACATATTTAGCACAGGTGTTAAACTCTCCTGTTGGGGTACCTAAATTTAAGATCATTTCTACTCTTACTGAATCAAAAGTGGAACTTCTTAATTATCTCATTAACCCCATGTTAAAATTCACTGAGTTTACAAGCAAAGATCTTGGCATTTCCAAGTCTTTGCATTCAACCTTCAGCAAGTTATTTCACATGCATGCTCAAATATGTAACTTGAGAAAAAAACAAGTAGTTGCAATATGTTCTTACTGTATCTCTGATAACCTCAGTAGCAGGGGCAGTTTTGCTTGGTTTAAAATTGTGTGACATTGTCTCCAATGAAACTCTCCTTTAAGAAACAGACACAGATAATCCACTGACCTTAAGAGAACAACAATCTTTACTTGCTAGTGCACTTTATTATCTAGAAATACACAGAACTTATTTTCATTAAATGAAAATCTAAAAAAATCATACCTACACTAATACTCTGTCTGCTTTGATCCCCACTAGAACAATGGATGGTTTTACCTGAAATAAGGACTGATTGCAGCAAGAACATTCCTATGACAGGAGAATGTCTTCCCATGATCCACTTCCACCACAATGTCTGTCAGCTGTCCTTCATCATACATGGTCTTCAGCTGTTGGAGAATACTACAAGCATGGAAGGGGTCCATTCCACTGCTGACTTGGTTTGAGGGAGGGACTCCGTTCAGTGTTTGTGAAAACTGACTTGGTTCTACAAAGCAAAATTGAAACTTTAACAGAAAACAACCAGTAACAAAAGAAAAAAGCCTCCAAAAAAAATTCATGCATGTGCCAAAACCCAAAAAGCACAAATTGATATTCCATAATTTCTCAGCATCATCATCCTTCAACAGCAAGCCAAACATTGTCATGGGTGTGTAAATACCTAAAGAGATCTCAATACATTTTCTTCCTTTTCACAATGTACTTGTCAGTTACTATTCAACTATAAAGTTCTGTTCTATCCCCCTGAAGAGTTTATATCCATTAAGGAAAACAATACAAATACTTCATACAACTGAGGAAGGGGAAATCAAGTCAAGAAACACAACACATATTGACATTTAAAATAGAAAGGGACACAGAGGAATAAAATAAGTCCCCAAACTACCCCCACCATTACACAAGCCTGTATGTAAATATTTAACTTCACATTGAAACAGGAACTGGCTCCTGCCTTACACAAGTAATGGCTGGAGCAGAGGCTCATGAAGAAACAGCCCTACAATAAGTCTTAACTTAAAACTCGTAAATTTGTAAATACAGTTACATCTTTTCTCTACAAATAAAACAGAATTATAATTTGAAATTTCTCACGTGTGAAGGAGCTCATATATGACCGTGGAAACATATTTAGTAGAGCATATGCTGCTAAATAACATGTGATAAGCCTAATGAAGTAAATCCCAAAGTGAAAATTGAGCAATAGCTCAAGCACAAAATCTGTTTCGTAATAGCACCAAATTTTTACGCAACAAAAACAACAAAGGCGAGCTGAAAAGAAAAACATTAGGTGGCCAGAGCTGCAAATCAGGTAAAGCTACTGACTGCAACAGAGTGCTTCCGACAAAATTTAGGCAACACAAAGGGGCAAAGAGGAGCGAGAGAGCACACCCATTTTCACAGAAGCCTTTCATCAAGCCCCCTCCCCTCACCCAGCAGGGGGGTCCCTCACGGGACAGCTCCTTCAGCCTCACACAGACACTGCCCCGCTCCCACACACAGCAGCCGTCCCCTCACGCCATCAGCTCGCACGGCCGAGCCCCGCTGCCCTGCCGGGGACCCCTCACAGCCCCGAGCCCCCTCACACAGCACAGGCCCGAGCCCCCTCACGGCCGCTCCCCCACAGACACCCCTCAACACCCTGCCCCGGTACCCCGCACCAGCACCCCCCGTGTCGCACCGGGCGCTCCCCCGTGCCCCGCACCGACCTCCCAGCGCTGCCATCCTGGGCCCCGCTCGGGCAGCGGCTCCGGGGGCGGCCCGGCAGGAAATGTCACCGCGCCGCTTCCCCCGCTCACCGCCGGCCGCGCACCCCGCAGCATCAACCGCGCCCATTGGCCAGTGCCCCCGCTGCCTGCCGGGACATGTAGTGCGGGCTGGCAGCCCTTGGCGCGCGGGGCCTGCCGGGAGTTGTAGTCCCTCCGCAGCGGGATGACTGGGAGTTGTAGTTCCCGGGGGGAGGCGGGACCAGCCGGTTGCGTAGCAACGAGGCGGCGGCGCCTCGGCGGGCCGCCATTTTGGGCCCCGGGGCAGCGGCAGCGCCCTGTCCCGGCGGGGTGCGGTGTGTTCCCCTCAGCAGCGACACCCGGCAGAACTGGCCTCTCCTGAGGGGGAAATTGCCCCCTCCGCCCCCAAACCCCGCACTTCTCCTGCCCACGCTGAGCTGCGGCTCCTGGGGCGAACGCCGAGGGGAGCGGGTGGCGCCCGGAGCTGCCGCCGCCGTGGGTTTTTCACCCAGTTCTGCGCAGTATTCCCTGGAACTCTGAACGGCAGAAGGAGATGTGCTGCCTGTGCAAGCTGCTCTGAAATCCATGACAGTCACACACCATGTTAAAGCTTCATATAAATGGCATTTGCATTGCGCACAAATATTTGACCTGGGGGCACAGGAATGCCTGCCAGCGTCCTAATGCTCCAGGGGTGTGGTGAGGGGCAGGATGTGAGACCACTGGATGTGCAAGGCTGAATTAAACTTTGATAGGAACTAAGAATCGGCTACTTGGTCTGAAAGCTTGTTACACCAAGAATATTCTGAATTTTTCCAGGGTTGGTGACCCCAGCACGCTGTGGACAGCCAGATCAGCCCTACCTGTCCCACAGAGCTGCAAAATGAATGCAGCACACAAGTGACCATTTCATTGCCCCTGACCCTTAATATCACATTTCTCTCTCCATCCCAGAGGACAAGTGGATGATAGCCACCAGGTTTTCCAGTTTCCTAAAGCAATTAGCCACTGGTCTCATTCTTGGGAACTGTATCATTATCAGGCATTTGTTGTGGAAGAGGTTTTGAAGTTTTTTCTTTGTGAAACACAATTAATGAAGAATTAAATAATGGAAGCATTGCAAAATTGTGTATATTTTTCCTGGTTCTGTGCTAAATAGATTTAATACAGCCTCACAGGTTTTAGCTGGGAAGTTTTGTTTGGGGAGAAAAAAAAATAACAAAACAAACCAATTTGAATAATATTTTTAAATTAATTTCAGTTAACTCTCAGGAATTAGTAGCCTGAGTACATGAGCACTTCTCCAAAGCAGGTGAATTTAAAGTGAATTTAAAGGCAGTGCAACCCCACTGGTGGTTTTACTTTGGCTTGCAAGGCACAGCCTTCCCCTCACTCAGCAATTATCAGTGGTGTCCAGGCTGCTCCGATGATAATGCTGCACAACGCAGGAGTGATGGAGACTCTGATGAAGGCGCTGTAAAAGAAAATAGAACTTCACGTCCGCAAATGGATTCTGCAGTTTTCCAATTTCCCCATCCAGCAACGGCACGGCCTGTGAAATTGTCCCTAGAAATCTGAAACGAAGGGATGGAGAATTCCTCTGCTCTTACCCTTTAGCAAATGACATTGCCTGATACAGTTCATTTCCTCCCGTGTGGGCGCGTGGGCCGGGCTGGATTAGTGTTAAAATGCAGAAGCCAAATGTAGAATGTTTTTTAATACAAATCCCACATTGAACTGGAGCTTTGGAGCGTGAGCCTTTCTTGAAATTGCTTACCTTTGTATGATTTTTGGTGAAGCAAGCAAATTGCCATACAAACAGGTTTAGATGTGCTTTGAGAGGCATCCATAGCAGCACCTTTGCTAAGGCTGGAGCCTTTCTCAAGTGGAATAACACCATCACCCTCTCCCCTCCCTGGAAACCTCCATCAGCACTCCTAGGATGTTGCTCCGTGGAGCACTGCCATGGAAGTCTGGGGATCTGGGTTTTTCACCCAGTTCTGCACAGTATTCCCTGGAACTCTGAAGGGCAGAATGAGATGTGCTGCCTGTGCAAGCTGCTCTGAAATCCTTGACAGTCACACACCATGTTAAAGCTTCATATAAATGGCATTTGCATTGCACACAAATATTTCAGCCTGTTCTTTCAGAAATTACAAGATGCTTGAAGAATTCCATCTCCCTTCTGCTGCATCATTTTCTTTCTCCTGTTGTTTTGTCTGTGGAGTGATACATGCCCATATTTAAGTGTAGAAGTGAAAAATTGGGCTCTTAGCTTAATGCTGCCACAAATTTCTTCATGCTGTTGACCAAATAATTTAATTTCATGAATTCTTGCTTTCCAGGAGACAATGGGGACCTGTGAATAGACATAGTATATAAATCCTTTTATTTTATAATAGGTTTTGGTATGTATTTTAATAATTTTCAATACCTTTTTTTTTTCAGTCTGTCAGTAATGCACTGAAACCTATTTTAGGATTTTGCAAGGATTTAAAGTTTTTGTTACTGATGGATCAGAATGCTTTCACTTGTGCTTTAATTTCACATCTAATGTATCATTCCTGGAGATAGAGCTTGAAAACATACACTTGGTGGCGAAATTTTCCCATTTGATATTCCAAAGGCTCAAAATAAAAAAGAAATTATGTCAATTGATAAGGAACAAACAGTCTATGTCTGTCTTTTATAAGTGATTAGAGAGACTGTACTGCTTATAAACTCAGAATTGGCACTGTGTGTTCTGGGATTCTTGCCTTCAGAATAAAAATGTCTTTGTCATGAGCTCAAGAGAGAAAAGAGGAAAAGAAAAGGTTTCAGGAGAAAGTGGACAAAATACAAACTTTTTCAGATATTTGAGAATTTAGAAGATATCCATAAAAAGAGTTCGGGTAAACAATGAAGTTATTGAAAAGGTTTTCCTTTGTCATTGCACCTGCAGAACAAGTTAATTAGAAAACTGGTTCATCTGGTTGCCTTCAGCATAGGGGCAGAGAGAACATCATATCTGTGAAGTGGTTGGTGTGGGTCACCTGGGAGTAACCTGCCCCAGTGCTCCTGCTGCACGGGAGAGGCTGCACAGAGCACTTTTGGAGCAGGCAGCTCTTGCTACACAGTATTTGGTGTGTAGGAAACTTCCCATGTTTTCTCCTGTCAGCAAAACAAAGAAAGGCAACTGGACCAAAATTCAGAGAAAATGTGAACCAGGGTTGAAGCTTTCAAAGGGAACAAATTTTAATCCATGTGAATATTGCCATTTTTGTTTTGGATATCATGTTTACTTTAAAGTTGTAGGAAGAGGTCCCTGTATCCTGTTTTCCTTTTTTTCTTTCCCCTTTTTACTGTTTTTTTCACTGAAAAGAGAGCATTGTGAAAGGAAGGCACAGCCTATCCCCACGTTTCCCTGAAAAGAGAAAACCAAGGGCTGCAGAAGCTCTTTTGTTTTTCTTGACAACATTATGAATGGTGGCATTTTTCATGACTCTTGAGTTTAAACAAGCAAACAAAAATCCCACCAAAATAACTCCACAGTGATTTCCAGCAAAATTGTTTACCTATACAATTTAAATAAACACTAGTAAAAAAAAAAGTATTACTTGCTAACTCCCAAATATGTCTCAATTACTATTTCCAGTTTTTCAGTTATTTGTGCCTGTTAATTTGCACTATGACACTGTGAGAAGCAATAGAGCTGATGCAGCTCCGAAAACCCCTCATATTTTAATTGGAAAAATCTTGATATTCACTGTGGAACAATCTAACCTTGAAAAACAATCTTTTACTAGGTTGTCTTTAATGCATAAAACACTGCTCATTTTCTGCAATTCTGCCACCGAGGGGCACATTAATTTAGCTGCACAATAATTTAATACATCGATCCATTGATTGGAGCAGAGAGGTTTTTGTTTAGCGGTTCCAAGAAATCACACATTTCTTGCAGAATCCGTAAAAAGGCAGTTCTGGCTGCAGTTTAAGTAGGGGGAATTGCAGATCATGAGGGAAAGTTGTCCTTCAAAGGCGATCGATCCCGCCACACTGAGCACAGTGGGTGTTCCATCAGGAGAGAGGCAGGCTGGCAGGGGGCAATTAATGGGGCAGATACCGGAGTGCTGCCCTGATTACCCCATGCCAGACACTGGCTTTGGCCATGCTGAGCCAGGCTGGTAGAAACAAGAATCCTGATGAGATATGGCTCTGCTAATGTCAAGAAGTGCCACTTCCTAGCAGCAGGAGCAACTTTATTGAAACCATCTGTTGTTTTGGAAGACACATGTGCACGCACGCACACGTACTTCCTCCTCCCAAAGTCTTTAACCTTTCTCTGAAGGCTGACTGGAATTGCAGAGCTAATCCCTCCTTAATCTCACAATGACAGGCTCTGCTGCGGTCAGCAAGTCCCAGCAGCTGCTACAAACCAGGGTGACTGGTGCCATTTAGGTGAAGTGACAGTGATGTATCCTGGAGCAGTCAGTGCAGAGCAAAACAGCCATTCTGCCACTGTCAAAATAAAGTTTGGCAGGAGTAGCCTCAAAGAGAAGGCTGGGGTACCTGCACCAAGACAAGAACTCAGTACTCAGCTGGATCTCACCGCTCTGTGCAACACAGGGAACACGAAAAAGAGATTCAGTGAGTTTGGTCCCCCTGAAAACCTAATTTTTCAGCAGGTAAAGCCATCTGAAAGGACACAGCCTTGTTCCAAATTGTCAAGTCTCTAATCATCAGTTTTATGATGATCCTTCCTTCAGACACCAGGACCATTCTCATGGCTGTGTTAGAGGTGAGCATCAGAGCTCAGGTTGCCAGCAGAAAATGTGGTTCTACCAGAGCATCCTCTGAGACTGTATTACCTTCAGCTTCTTTGCAAGCAAAGTATTTTTGTTGGTGTTTCATGCTTCTTATTTCTTATTCCTAAAAATGGTGTTTAAAAGCAGCATTTTTAAGCACAAAGCACTTAAAAATTTAAGCAAATTTAATTTCTAAGCAAAAAGCACTTTAAAAATAACCAGCTCCCAGCTCTTTGGAACAAACACTGCATATCAGACCTGGAATCTCTAAAATCCCTCTTGCCCACAAACATGACTCCTGGTCACTC